TACTAATTCTAATTTACAATCACATTTTACTTAATTAATTAAATATAATTTATAAAAAATTTAAAAGAAACCCAATATTTTATTTTTGGACATCAATTATCCAACATATCTAAAACAAATAATAAACAATCTCAACAATATTACTTTTATTTTAATTTTTTGATTATTTAATTTTCTTCTTATTTTCTTTTTATCATATGCAAACTACCATTTGTTTTCTATAAACAATTGAGAATTGTGAGTTAAAAATAATGATGTGAGAAATATATTTAATTTAAAACTAACAAAGATTTCATATATTTTTGTATTAATTAATTGAAATTGAGAGCTAAAAATAAAAGAACATGGTTTATAACCTAAATGACATTTTTTCTTTTCCATTTTTAATAAACTTTTTGAAAATATCAAAATTTTAAATTTTATAAATTTATTTTCTTTGGAATATAAATATATAAAATGTTATTCATAAAATAAAAGGCAAAAAAAGAAGGTTTGACACGTGGTACAATACTATTGAGCCACCTTAACAACCGTAAAAAAAAAAAAAAAAAACTTACCACCTCTCTTTTAATCTCTCTGCTCCTTCCTTAAAATACCTCTCCCATCACATATCAATTCCCTCTCGAAAAAACAAACCGTAAACAAAAATGATTTTAGGTAGATTTATCCTAGAATGTCATCGAACAATTTGTCCCACTAATTAGTTAAATCTTTCTTTTACTTTTATTTTGATTTTGTTCCTGGTTTTTACCTTATTTAGATTTTAATTAGAAATTAAATAACAATAACCATCATATACTCATATATGATATTGTATGAGTTATGATATTTGATGATGTGTGTAATATATATAGTTCAATGTATAACGTACTTGATATGTTTGATGCACTTTATGAATATATGATGATTGCATGAAGTTTGTGTTAATATGTTGATGTTTTCCATATTAAGCATGCTATATGATGATGAATGCCATATTGCATCATGTCGATAAATTGACATGGGACACAACCCTAAGAGCATGAAAATGATATTAATATAAATATTTAACGAGCATGTGTTACTTAATGTAACAAAGAGATGAGACTAGAGGGTTGTATGATAAGAGATGATAAGATGAAATTTAGTGGGACCTCATGCATGTTGTATGTTCATAAGCATAGAGATACTTCCCCTAGATATGATGAGTGCGGACACGTACAGTTTTATGATGAGGGTGTTTATGGGAAGCATGACATTAGAGGTTTTGCTTACCTCCGAACGTCGCTATAGAATAGCTTGACCAGAGAGGGTTCAGGGGATGTGCGAGCTCCCTGGGGATTCACACTCACACGTGGGTCGTGTGTAGGGAAGTACTACACATCCATAGTAGTCAGAGACTGAAGGCTACCCCTAGATGAGATAAACATAGGTCCTAAGAGCACGATTGCATGTGTTTGCATTTCCATGGCCCCCTATATTGGAGTCACTTATTGAGCATTCTTCGAAATACTCAGGCCGTGTGCCACATCATTTTTCAGGTAAAGGCAAGATGCATGTGTACGGATGACGGCGACATCGTGAGCAGAGACTGTGACATGTGCATAGAATAAACTCATATTTAAATTCCTAGTCTTAGGTTAGAATAAGTTGTTTTGCATTTCATCGTTTTAAATTATTTCATATTTGTTTTTATTTTCTCTAAAATTCAGTATTTGGTATTTAAACACGTAAGACCATTACGGTGTGTTTTCTAAAGATACAAGACATTCGACATTTATACTAAAGATGAAATTTTCTTTCAAAAGTTATATTCCACGTTTCAGAAGAGTACGAGATATTAGTAGCGACTTTGAATAAATAAAAATTTAGGGTCGTTATAATCTCGTTAAACAGAAAAACTCGGTGCATAACTTACATGTTTAGAATATCTCATACTTATATATACCTTATAAACTTACTTTAGTCACATTTTCAAGGATGAATTAAAAAAATATAATATTTTAAAAAATGGAGCTTGGATGGCTATTTAACGTAGGACCACTCTTCCAACGACCCCTCCATCCATATCAATAAATTAAGGACTCCTTTATTAGGAGTACTAAATAAGGAATTAGCCGGTGAGAATGATATTTTCTTTTTTATAACAAGAAGAATTACCAAAATTAATTATATACACAAAATTAATTAAGAGTGTGCACGAATTGAGTGAGCTGAGTTGCCAAATTCTTTTAGACCATCCGCTTGAGAGTAGGTGACTCTGAGTAATTCAAATATTACTCACAATCTAACCAACAGTAGGAATGGATTGGGTTGTCGAGTTATTTTTTTTAAATTATTTAAAAAATTCTACTAATTCACTTGACATGTTATATTAATAATTAAAATCTCATAAAATTTTAAATATCAAACATTTACCTGTTATAACGCATTATTAACATCGATTATAAATTTAAATATTCTTAATCTTATTAAAAATACAGTAGGGTTGGATTGAGTTGGATTGTAATCCTATTTGCAGAGGTAAATCAAGTTGACTCATAAAAAAAAATGTCAATCCACAAATGAACCAAATTTTTTTATTTTTTAAAAAATTCAATCCAAATCAAAGTTAAAAAGAAGAAAAAAAAAATCTTACCAAATTCAACTTTTATGGTTTGGGTGGAATAGTGTGAGTTTGTCAGATTATTAGGTTATATGCATACTCCTACACGAACTCTCTTAATTAGATAAGAAGTTCAGAAGTCCAAGATGATATAACATAGAGATTATGGTATGTATCTCACGTGACTCTTTTTTTTTTTTTTTTTTTTTTTTTTTTTTTTTTTTTTTTTTTTTTTTTTTTTTTTTTTTT